GTAGCGCGCTCGCCTGGCATGCGTGCGACCCGGGTTCGATCCTCAGCACCACATACAAACAAAGATGTTATGTCTGCCGAAAACTAAAAAATAAATATTAAAAAATTCTCTCTCTTTAAAAAAAAATAATACAATGGAATTTGATATAATATCATCTCAATGTCCACCACAAAAATTAGTTTCAAAGTATATTAACTACTTAGAATAATGACAAAGAATGTACTACTGGAAACAGGGATGTAACTCAGTAATAGAATATGTCCCTAGCATGCACAGGACCCTGAGTTTGATCCCCAACACTCAAAAAAAAAAAAAAAACAATGTCGGTAAACTCAAAAATTACCAAGTGTTATGTCCTATATTGAAAAGCCAGTCTAAAAGGAAGCCTGGGGCAGCGTCAGGTAGCTCAGTGGAAGAACACCTGCCTAACATACACATGACCCTGGGTTCCATTTCCAGCACTGCAAAAAAAAAAAAAGGCAAACAAAAGAGGCATTCTCCTTAGGAAGAAACACTGAGAAGCCCCTAGCATTAATATCAAGACTCTTCAAAAGAAGACAATCCAACAGTCTGGTTCCTATTGGACTCAAGTTTACAAGAAATCAGAATAATACAGTTTTGTTGTCTTTTGGTACTGAGGATTCAACCCAGGGCCTTGTGCATGCTAGACAAGCACTCAACCACTGAGCTACATCCCCAGCCCTTTTTATGTTTTCCTTTGAGACAGAGTTTTGCTAAGTTGCTCAGCTGGCCTCAAATTTGAGATCCTCCTGCCCCAGCCTATAAGCAGTTAGGATTATAGGCATGGGCCACCATGACCGACTAAATTAAGACAATTTTTTTTGTTTGTGTCTGTGGTACTGAGGTTTGAACCAAGGGATGCTTTACCACTGAGCTACATCCTCAGTCCTTTTTATTTTTTTAATGATTTTTTTTTAAGCTGTAGTTGGACACCATATCTTTATTTATTTTTATGTGGTGCTGAGAATCGAACCCAGTGCCTTGCAGTGCTAGGTGAGTGCTCTACCGCTGAGCCACAACTCTAGCCTCCTTTTTATTTTTTTTGTTTTAAGATAAGGTCTTGCTACATTGCTGAGGCTGGCCTCAAACTTGGGATACTCCTGCCTCAGCCTCTAGAATATACACTTTTAACAATGATGATAACAAACATTTATTGAGGTTTTGCTCCATATAACCTGTTTGATACATTTTGTTTTCCATTTATTCCTCAAAATAATCTAATGAGTTGGGTGTTACTACCATCACCAACACAGAAGAAAGCAAAGAGTGTATTAGTGAGTATAGCTGAGGATTCACTTAGGCACAAGGAAATGGAGGACTGTGCTCTTCTGGAGAAGCAATAAGACAGTGCTATCCTCATGAAGCTGATATTTTGAAGAAACACAGCAAGACAACAGCATAGCACAGGGATGTCAAAGCAACACATTACTGGTGATTTGCTCGGGGACCTGGGGGCAGCAACCCAGGTTTAGTGCTCACCTGGACAGCACTCGCTTCCTGGTCTCCTTGGCACGAACCTTCCTCAATAGGTCTTCCAACTTGCTTGATTCCTCAAAGTGAACCCCGAGATCCTCATCCTCTGCTATGCTGATGATATCTCTGTAGAACAAGGATATATCAAAGCCCCCACGTTTCTTCAGGTGCATCAAGTCAAGGAAGATTCCTGGTACACAGACAAAAATGAGGAAGAAAAAAGAATTTTTAGTAAAATGGGAATTTTTTTTTTTTTAAAGAGATGGGGATCTCACTATGTTGCCCAGGCTGGCCCCAGATTCCTGGACTCAAGCAATCTTCTGCCTCACCCTTTTGAGTAGCTGGGACTACAGGCATGCACCACCATGTCCAACTTGAAGATTCTTTTCAGTTAAATTCAAACGCTTTTAAAAGTGCCCCCCACCAAATTAGATTGATTTTAACAATTTCAGGAATTAGAGAGAAAGTGGCTAAATAAATTAGCTGTTATATTTACTTGAGACAACTTATTCAAATAACCTCATTCAAGGTAGTGTTAAAATCAAGACAAGTGCAGGATATGGTGGCCCAAGCCTGTAATCCCAGCCACTAAGGAGGCTGAGCCAGGAGAATTTCAAGTTTGAAGACATCCATGGCAACCTAGCAAGACTCTGCCTCAAAAGAAATAAAAATTAAGGGCTGGAGATGTAGCTCAGTGGTAGAACACACCTGGGTTCAAACCTCAGTTAAAAAAAAAAAAAAGTCAAGATAAGCTTGCTCTGGTGGCAAGCTCAAGGGCTCTAAAGTCCTTCAGACAGTGTAGTAAGGTCATTTTCTTTATTCTTTTTTTGAGACTGGGTCCACTATGTTGCTCAGACTGGCCTCATACTCATGTGCTCAAGTGATCCTCCCACCTCAGCCTGTAGAACAGCTGGGATTGAGGACATGTGCCACCACATCTTTCTGATGTGGCCATTTTCAGTGTAATGTTACACAGGTGTCTTCCCTTGGCTTTACATTATTCTTTGACTCTGGATGGTGAAAAGCAAATGCTTGAGATCAGCTATAAAGAAAGCAATAAAATTAAGTGCCAATTTAAAAGAATAAGAAAAATGCCCACCTGTGTCACGGAGATCGCCAGCTTTGGTCCTGGCCCGGCTGGCTTTGGCACTGTCATTGCCATGAGGGTCGTCTTCATTGGTGAACAGCATGATCCTCTTATGACTCATCTTGAACTGGACATTGCTAAAGAGGTTGGCACAGACCCACAGCACTTCACTCAATGAGTAGTCAGAACCATGGCCAATTAGATCTTGAAAATGTTTTTTTCCCTGCTGCCCCTTAAACTGGTCAAGCTCCAGCATTCGTTTTGCACCTGATTAAATCAAAGAATCAAATGGACAGAAAAACCATTAGAGTCAGTGGCCACCTTCACCACAGGGTAACAGAAAGGCCAGGGTTCCTTTCTCACTCCACAGCTGTTTACCAACAAAGACCGCTTGTAGGAAAGCAGACTCCTTAACAAGATGGAACCTGCTTCCTCCTTCATACCCCTCTTTGTTCAGGGTAGTGACATTCTCACATAAGGGAAACGCTGAGCTTAGAACATTACTGACCTGGATTATCCAACTCTTGTAAGACGTAAATATTTTTGAAATTCACTGAATTTTTGTCTTTCTCGGTACCATAGAATACCACTGCCAAGAGATCTCGATCACTGCTTATGATCTTACTGGCATATACACTCTGGACACACTGAAAAAATTAAAATTCAATGAATATTTACTTACCATTAAATTTAAGTTCTATAAGTTCCTGGCTTATAGTAGATACTTAACATGTCCTAGCTGAATTTTATACATAGCACTATAAGACATAACCCCTACTTTCAGGAAGTTCCTGAACCAGAGAGTGATGGGCATACACATCAATTTATAACAAACACAAAGTGCTATATGGATATAACAGACTTATAAGTAGTCCCTAGGTATGGGGTATAGCTCAGTGGGCTCAGCAGAGTAATTGCTTGGCATGCATGAGGCCCAGGTTCAAAACCCATCAATGCAAAAAAAATAAAATAAAATAAAAGCAGGGGGAGGGGGTGTGGAGGGGCGGGGTGGGGGATTCTGGCTCATAGAGTACACTCAAATAGTGTTTATCTCACACGTGTGAGGCACTGGGTTAAATCCTCAGCACCACATAAAAACAAATAAAACAAAACAAGGGTCTAGGGTTGGGGCTCAGCAGTAGAGCACTCACCTAGCATGTGTGACGCACTGGGTTTGATCCTCAGCACCACATAAAAATAAATAAATAAAATAAAGGTACTGTGTCCTACTACAACTAATAAAATAAAATAAAGGTATTTAAAAAAAAAAAAAAACCCACAAAGCAGTCCCTACTATAAAAAACCAGAGAATTATGGGGCTAGAGATGTGGCTTAGCAGTAGAGCACCTGATTAGCACCTGTGAGGCCCTGGGTTTGATCCTCAGCACCACATAAAAATAAACAAATAAATAAAGGTATTGGGCTGGGGTTGTGGCTCAGTGGTAGAGCACTCGCCTAGCATGTGCGCACCCTGGGTTTGATCCTCAGCACCACATAAAAAGATAAATAAAGGTATTGTGTCCAACTACAACTAAAAAATAAATATTTAAAATAAAATAAAAGTATTGTGTCCAACTACAACTAAAAAATAAAATCTTAAAAGCCCAATAATGGATTCAGAAGATCAGAGGTGCATCCCACTGATGTCACTCACTGAGTCTGACAGGTCACCTGATCTTTTCTAAAGTATTCTGACACCAAGAAACAGTTTACATATGTAATTACAAAGCTTAAATTAACAATAAATGTATCTGACCCCAAAACAAGTCAGTAACTACAAAAAGTACACTTTGAAATAAAATTACACAATTACAGCCATCAGTGTTTCAGTCACAGGAAAAGTCTGTCCCCCATATGAACTAACATCAGCATCTGGTAGATAAGGTCCTAGAAAAGTTGATCCATCTTGGGCCTGTTTAATTCTGGGGCATTAATAAAATTGTTTCTGAATCTGCAAAGCTGAATAAACCAACCATGGTGACCCCCTCCATGTCCTGCCTGAGCCTCTAACTGGCCTTCCTCTAAAGCAAGACTATGCTTACATGCAAAACTTACATTACGGCTAGTCACTGACAATAACCTGCATGGCAAGTAGTTACTTCTATAAATATTTTAATCTATTTGTTCAGTAGTCTACAAGTTTTTAGAAGAATTTGGTAAAAACTCCTTTTAGATTCTAATAATTAAAAACACAAAACGAGCTGGGCATGGTAGCACATGCCTATAATCTCAGCTACCAAGAGACTTGAGGCAGGAGGATTGCAAGTTAGAGGCCAGCCTGGACATAGACCCTATCTCAAAAAAAAAAAAAGTGAGGGGTTGAGGGGTGAGCTGGGATGTAGCTCAGTGGTGGAGTGCCATGAGGCCCTGGGTTCAATTCCCTGTACAGCAAAATCTAAAAAAATTTAAAAAAAAAACTGTGTCTGCTTTTTCAACACATATACTAAATTAAAATAATACAGAGATTAACATGGCCCTTGCACAAGGATAAAATGAGAAAACAGAATCTTAGAAAATGTTCTTTCATTGCTTGTTAACAAATATATATTATGCTTGGATTGGGGTTGTGGCTCAGTAGTAGAGCACTTGCCTAGGATGTGTGAGACACTGGGTTCGATTCTCAGCACCACATATAAATAAATAAAGACCATTGACAATTAAAAAAAAATTTTTTTAAATATATACATTGGGCTGAGGATGTGGCTCAAGCGGTAACACGCTCGCCCGGCATGCGCGGGGTGCTGGGTTCAATCCTCAGCACCACATAAAAATAAAGATGTTGTGTCCGCCAAAAACTGAAAAATAAATATTAAAAAATTCTCTCTCTCAAAAATAAAATAAACATATATATATATATAAATAAATATAAATAAATAAATATATATATATTTCCTTATTGGTGAATCTCTCATCTATTTGGAACCTAATACTACCTTTTCTTTTATGGTCTTTGGGCTTAAAGTGTTCAATGAACCCTTTGTAATTACATGTAGAATGATGAGTGCTGTCTTTCTAGGAGAGAAGGTACATAACTTTCATAACATCCTCAAAGAGATCTGAAATCACAAAAAACATTAAAGCATCTCTCCTCAAACTGTGGCCTCTGATTCAGTAACATCAACAAGTTCCTGGAAATGCAAATTCTTTTTTGTTTTTTTTCCCCCCAATTTTGAGGTTTGGACCTGGGCCTTGCACATGCTAGGCACGTGCTGTATCACTGAGCTACATCCCCAAAATTGCAAAATTCTTTTTTTTTTTTGGTATGGTACTGCAGTTGAACCCAGGAGGGCTCTACCACTGAGCTACATCCCCAGTCCTCACCTTTTTTTTCCCTAAGTTGCCCAGGATGTCCCTGAACTCATGATTCTCCTGCCTCAGCCTCCCAAGCAGCTGGGATTATAAGCCTGGCTACTATTATTTCTTTTCTTTCTTTCTTTCTATAATTACAGCCATACTAGAAGGTATAAAGAGGTATCTCACTGTGGTTTGGATTCGCATTCCCTAATGACTAAAGCTGTCAAACATTTTTCTTGTGCTTATTAGCCACCTGTATACCTCTGGAGAAATGGCTATTAAGTTATAAGTCCTTATCCCATGTTAAAATTGGGGTTGTCTTGTTGCTATAGTAACAGTTTTCAGCAAGTAGTATTCAATTACCAAACATCACTTGAGAGGTTAGTTTGTTTGTTTGGTAGTACTGAGGATCCAACCCATGGCCTTGTGGATACTCTACCACTGAACTACATCTACAGCCCAAAAGGACTTTTCTTCACACCATAATTGCCAGTACTTTCCTTCTTCCTTTATTGTTGAGGACCAATCAAGTCAAGATGGCGCCTGGCACTTTGCCAGGAGGAGTGGTTTGTGAAGTAATGCGAGCGAACCATTAAGATGATGAGGATTCCTTAATGACTGACTGCTGTATCTAGATGATGTTAATTAAGTTAAGCTGTGTGTAATCAGTTGGGTATATATACCTCTACTGTCTTGCAATAAAGGGGCTCCCGCTGTTTCAACCTCCACAAGTTGCTTGTCACCCCCCGGTTATTTTTGCTCAGCCAGACTGCGGCACTTTATAATCCTATATTTGAAGAAGCCCACTTCTACTATCAGGGCTAATACAAAAGGTGGGAACAATGTATTCCTACAGTCCCAAGTTCAAACCTAGAATAGAATGAGACTCATCTCCAACACTGCTACCTTTTTTTTTTGGCTGCAAATATAGGCTAATTGCTATTTAACATTCACAAACTTTTCAAAGAGTTCATGTTTTTGCAAGTGATATCATACTTTTTTGCTATTTTTTTTTTTGGATCAAATAAAAGGTAGTCTTGCCAGGCATGATGGCACATACCTGTAATCCCAATAACTTGGGAGACCAAGGCAGGAGGACTGCAAGTTCGAGGCCAGCTTCAGCAACTTAGCAATGCCCTAAGCAACTTAGCGAGATCCTGTCTCAAAATAAAAAAAATAAAAAAGGCCTGGGGATGTAGCTCAGTGGTAAAGTGCCCCTGGGTTCAATCACCAATATCCAAACAAAACAAAACAGGAAGATATGGGGCTGGGGTTGTGGCTCAATAGTAGGGTGCTCACCTAGCATGAGTGAGGCACTGGGTCCGAAACTCAGCACCACATAAAAAAATAAATAAATAATAAGGCATTGTGTCTACCTACAACTAAAAAAATAAGGAAAAAAAAAAAAAGGAAGACTTACCTGGATGCTCATATCAAAAGGAGTCAATTCATCTTCACCCTGAGATTCAAACATGGCCCTGGAGGCATCAACCAAAAAAATCAAACTATCTCTTCCTGAATATTTATGTTCTCCTATGGGGAAAATAAATGGAAGGAACATTTACCCTTGTACTCATATTTAAGTTTATCATTAATATGAAACATACAGAGAAGTCCTTAAAGCAAAAGTATAACCTAATGAATTATTATAAGGTGAACATCTTTAAAATAACCATCAAGGGCTGGGGTTGGGGCTCAGTGGTAAAGTGCTTGCCTCCAATGTGTGAGGCACTGGGTTCAATTCTCAGCACCATATATAAATAAAAAATAAAGATTCATAAAAAAACCTAAAATGAATAAATAAAATTTAAAAAAATCATCAATGTCAGGAAAATCAGTCCTATTGGTCACCCCAGAAGTCCTTCATATATTCCCTCCTAATTACAATGCCCACCTCCCCACAAAGTAACCATGATCCTTACTGTTGGTAATTACTTTCTTAATTTTTCATTATAGTTTTATCATCTAAGTGTGCATCCCTAAACGTTAGTTTGACTTTCTATAAAAACATTTTGAGGGCTGGGGATATAGCTCAGTTGGTAGAGTGCTTGCCTTGCATGCAAAAGGCTCTGGGTTCAATCCCCAGCACCACAAAAATAAATAAATAAACAAACAAACAAATAAATAAAATTGAAACAGTCTATTTTTCCTTATAATTTATTTGCTAAATAACCAAAATGCTTTGTCACATATACTATTCCATATTCTGGATTTTGCTGATTGCATTCTTTTGGTCTAGAGTAACATCTACATCTTTGGGTGTACTCTGTTGTCCTTACTAGGGACCTAGAGTGGTTTAATCAGATTCAAGTTTCCTTTTTTCAGCATGACTATATCATAAGTGATGTGCTTATTTTTTTTAAGTGGTTCTTTTTTTATATATATGACAGTAGAGGTGCTTGTTTTTTGATACTGAATATTGAACCCAGAGGTGCTTAACCACTGAGCAACATCTCTAGCCCTTTTTCTTATTTTGAGACAGGGACTCACAAAGTTATGAGGCTGGCTTTGAACTTGCAATACTCCTGCCTCAGACTCCCAAATCACTAGGATTACAGTTGTCACTTTGCGTGACTCCTTTTTTTTTTTTGAGACAGGTTCTCCCTAAGTTAATTAGAGCCTTGCTACATTGCTGAGGCTGGTCTTGAACTTTCAATCTTCCTGCCTCAGCCTCCCAAGTTACTGGGATTACAGGTATGTGCCACCATGCCCAACAGTGATGTTTTCTTTCTTTTTTTTCCATAAAAAGGTATTTGTCTAATTATCTTCCCTTTTGACATTGCTGCTGCTTAATACAATAAATTTAATTAGCCACTTTTGGAGAACAAAATGTGTGTCAAAAGCCTTAAACAAAAGTTCTACCTTGATCTGGTAAATTCTACCTCTTAGCAATCTATCTTATTAAGATAAAGAAAAACAGGGGCTGGGTTTATAGCTCAGTGGTAGAGGCCTTGTCTAGCATGTGTGAGGCACTGGGTTTGATTCTCAGCACATAGATAAATAAATAAAATAAAGGTCTGTCAACAACTAAAAAAATATTGGAAAAAAAAAATGGAAAAACTCATATACAAAATTTACTATAACATTGGGCTGGGGATGCGGCTCAGTGGTAGAATGCTGTCTGGCATGCCTGAGGCCCTGGGTTCAATCCTCATCCTTGGGGAAAAAAATGAAAAAAAATTTTAAAAATGAATTTACTATGATTTTTTTTTAAATTTTTTAGTTCTCGGTGGACACAACATCTTTATTTTATTTTTATGTGGTGCTGAGGATAGAACCCAGACCCTGCGCATGCTAGGCGAGCGCGCTACCGCTAGAGCCACCTCCTCAGCCCATACTATGATGTTGTTTATTAAAGAAATTGAAAAATAACTAAAATGTCCAACAGGAAATTGAATCAATCAATAAATTCTAATATATTTTAAGTGAGTTATGAGGCAAGAGGATTGCAAGCAACTAAGCAAGACCCTCAGCAACTCAAGTGAGACCTGGTCTCAAAATAAGAAATAAAAAAAAATAAACCGGTTGCAGTGGCGCACACCTGTAATCCCAGCGGCTCTAGAGCTGAGATGGAGGATCTCAAGTTCAAAGCCAGCCTCAGCCAACAGCTGCCTCTAAACAAATTACAAAATAGTGCTGGGGATATGGCTCAGTGGCCGAGTGCCCCTGAGTTCAATTCTTGGTACCCTAAATAAAAATAAAAAGCACTTGGGATATAACTCAGTAGTAAAGCACCTAAAGGTTCAACCCCAGTACCACTAAACAAGAAGGTTATAACAACTAAGTACATGTGTTAAAACATGGAAAGATATAGCTATAATACAACAAGTAAAAAGGCAGAACATAAAATTTTACGCTTAAAATTTTTTTTGGAAGAAGACTGATGTAAAGTGAGAAAATGTATGTATACTATGATTACAATAATATAAAAATCAGATATGAATAAAAATGTGCATGTATGTATATTTAGAATAAATAGATTGAAAGATGCATAAAGGAGATATTCAAATTGCCAAAGAGATCCGGAATGGTGAATTAGGCCTATGAACCCAGCTACTAAGGAGGCTGAGAAGGAAAATGGCTTGAGTCTAATAATTCAAGGCCAGCCTAGGCAACAAAGCAAGACCTTGTCTCAAAAACAAACAAACAAACAAAAAGTCAAAACTATGGTAGTGGTTGGTTGTGGTATGATGACGGGTACACAGATTACAGGTTTTTTTTTTTTTTTTTTTTTTAAATAAAACACTAAAATTTTCTATCCAGGAATTAAATCAACTAGTGGACTACACGTACCCTTTATTAATCTCCCTTGGCCCTATGTGTTACTGTTTTGCTTGCATACACTACTTGAATAATAAATATTGTGTTGCTTGAATACACACAGATACTCCCAAACCTGGGAGCTACCATGAAGGAATAACTCTTTTGAAACCTGCATTGCTAATGTTTACTCTTCCATTAGTGTAAGTTACTGTAGGGTGAAGGTATTTTTACACTGAGGTTCTGAGATAAATAAAACTCCTTTCTCAGGCGAGAAAGGGTCTTACCTGAGTCATGTAAGATAACAAAAGATCCCATGAATAGGGTCATTTACTGGAGCTCAAAAGGTATCAATTTACCAGTGCCCAGCAAAAATTTAAAACTAGAGATGTCTCATAGAGTAAAACCAGAATAAAGGAGAGCCTACGGTAGCTCTGCAAAGCTCAAAGGGAGAAAAGTTATTTCGGATTATTTGGGGATAAAACGGTGGGCCATCAGAAGGCAACGTCCTTGCAGGAGACAAGGCAAGGAAGGTCCGTTTTTCCACATGCAGAACGGTATTATGAGAGACCCCAGCCCAATAACCTTAGGCCCAGTAACAAATCACCAGGGCTTGCTCTAGCACCTGCACAGACGTCAGATGTATTTTTCAGAAAATCAGTTAAGTGTAACCGATTAAGAAAGGACAGGATGGTTGGGAAAGAACCCGCACGGTTGGGCAAACGGGATCATACAATGAAAAACCATACAATGAATAACAAATGGTTTTTATGTGGTTTTTCCAGGAACCTATAGTGAAAAACAAGTTTACCCTTTAAGTGACCTATATGCTGGATTCAAAAGAGCCAATGAAATACCTGTTACTGTGCTAGGAGGGAAACTGACCACTGTACCCTATAAAAGATCTGTACCCCAAAGCCCGGTGTGCCAGTTCACCGAAGCTCCGGCTGAGGTTTCGCTGAGCACCCGCAGGCGCCTGTGTATCAATAAATCGCCTCTTGCTTTTGCAGCCAGTGTCTCGCGTGCTTTTCCTTGGACAGGGAGTCGGAGGGTCTTTCAATTACATGGTAAAGTCACTTACCACCTGCTTCCGGGCTTTCCTCTTGTTCTTCCTCCTCTTCATCGCCCTCGGTTTTGTAGTAAGACTCCCACCCTGACATAATTGTTTCTGCTAAGTGAAATGAGTTCACATCAGTAACAAGAAAATTTAAAGAAAAAATATCCAGTTTTAGGCTCTTTTGAGAGCTGTTCTAAAAGCTCGGAGTTACTAGTTAATAATGTGGAGGATGGATCCCTGGCTCGAGAGCTCTCATTCGTTGGGATGCAGAGGGAAATGGACAAGGAGGGTATTCCACCAGCAGCTTCACCTTAGCTATCCCTTACGGACGCTTTAGGGCCAGTGGCAACAGCTCAGATCCGTGCGTGGGGCACACCCTTGAGGTCCCGCCTCCTGCTCCACATTTGGACTGCGGTGGTTACTCGGTTACTTAGCAGATCCACACGTCCCCGTTCCGCCCCTAAATCTTCCCCAACCCCTCTGCCAGACACGCCTAATGAGATTTCCAACGCCGGCAGGCCTCCGAGGCCGGATGCCGCCTCCCGCGGAGAAGAAGGGGAGTCCAGAGGCTGTCTCTACCCTCAGGTTTGCACACTGGCGGTGGGCGCTGCCCCACCGCAAGGCTAGCGGGGCGCTCGAGACTGGATGAAACTGGACGAGGACAGCCCAGGCCGGCGGGCAACACACTCAGAGCGCCTCCAGCCTACCTTTGCAGCAAAGAAGAGAGAAACTTTTACAGAAGGCGGGCAGCACGTACGCTCTAACTTCCGCTCGCTCCCTCAATCAACGCCTTTTACGTCATCACGCACAGCGCGCCCTTCTTCCCGTCATGTTGACACGCCCACTTCCACAACCCCGCTTCCACGAGGGTCTCTACCTAAAGCCAATGCTGAGCGGAAGCCCCGCCCCCTTTAAGCCCCGCCCCCGGCGCCCGTCAAGACGGTACGCACATGCGCGAAAGTGCGTGTCCCGCCCCCGCCCCCTCTTCGGTACGGATCCTCCCAGTCCCCTCTCTGTCACCTCACAGTAGTCGTTGCCAGTAGCGGGTGTGGGGGCGCGAGCAGCGCAGGGCGGCCTCTCCCCCGCCCCTCAGGCCGGGCCCGGGCTCGGTCCCCCGGCTCCCTCCTCTCCCCACCCCCGTCGGGTACGGGAAGGTCCAAGCCGCTGCCGGGTGCCCGAGGGCCATCGTGGCCGCCGCCACGGGTCCCAATGGAGCCGCCGAATCTCTATCCGGTGAAGCTCTACGTGTACGACCTGTCCAAGGGCTTGGCCCGGCGGCTCAGCCCCATCATGCTGGGTGAGGGGGCTGGGGTCAGGTGGGAAGGAAGGCAGGAGCCAGGCAAGAGGACGCCGGCCGGCCATGGTGGGGGAGAGGTGGGCATTATTCAGGGGGAGACGCAGGACCCAGAGGTTGGAAGGAAAGGCGGGGTGGAGAGGGATGGGTCTCGGGTTTGGGCTCGCAGAGCCCCATTTTCCCATCTTCGCGTATGATCCAGGGAGAAGGGATGGGAGTCATGCCCTACCCATTCCTGGGGGCTTGGAAAGAAACGCAGCCCACCAGGGGCCCTTCGATTAGGGGTGAGGTAAGCCAGCTAGATCCTGGCAGGTTCCTCTCCTGGAAGCCCTGTACACTCTTCTTTCCTTGGCGCGGTGTAGGGAAGGTGAGGATGCCTCCCGCGTGGTGCCCCTCGTGGTGAAAGGGACACTGCGGAGGAGATTCTCGGGTCGCCCTCGGAGAGCCTTCCCTCCGTGTCAAAAGTAAACTCCCTCTGCATCTCTGAGGTAGATGAGAAGGAAGAACAAGAGCTGCACAGAAGGGCCCAACCATCTCCCCCAAGGTAGAGGTCAAGTCAGGTTAACAAGAGCCCGAACTTCAGAATTCACAAAGTTCGGCCTGGCAATGCAGTCTTCTCTCAGCATTTTCAAAGTTAATTGCTTTTGTACTGGGGAGGAATTGGATGCTGTTGTATGAGTAAGGATTAGTAAGGAAAGTATTGCAATTGTGCCCCGTTAAACTACGTTAATGCTGGGAGAAAAAGTCAGCGCTTGTTTCCGTGTAGATCAAACCTCATTTCTATCCAAATACCAAAATGTCTTGTGTCACATAGAAATTGTCAGGTTTGTAATTTCAGGTAATAATGGGCAGGAAAGGAATTCAGGAATTGAAAATTTAACAGTTTGGGCAACATCCATTTAAATGGCTTGTGTTTCCTGGCTTCTATGGAGACATTGGAGAAAGATTTGATTTATCTCTGGGAGGCAAGGGGGCAGAGGTCAGGAAAGTATGACTACTTGCATCTTTTCAATGTCCTTGAGTTTTTAATGTGTCATAGTGAGTTGAACTTAATCCCTCAACTCTAGGCTAGTGAGTGGTTTCTATATTTGGCTTCACATCAGAATCATCTACAGTGCTTGTAAAAAATATAGTTACCAGTCTGGGATGTAGCTCAGTGGCAGAACACTTAGCATGTACAAGGCCCTGGGTTCAATCCCAACACTACAAAATAAAACAAAACCCTTTCATTTTCTTTTTTTTTTTAATTTTTTTTTTTTTAGTTGTTGATAGACTTTTATTTATTTTACATGATGCTGAGAATCGAACCAGTGCTTCACACATGCCAGGCAAGTGTGCTACCTCTGAGCCACAGCCCCAGCCCCCAAACCCCTTCATTTTCAACATACGTTGTTAAATGAGATAAGAAAATAATTAAGATTAAAACAGTTCTTTAAATGTGCATGTGTGTGTTTAAAGCAAAGGATATACATGTGCTTGCTTAGGAAAATACTTATCTGGAAGTATACAGGAGAAGTTGGTAATAGTGGCAGCTTATGGAAAGAGGAACTTGATGAAAGAGGGTGGGGGGAACCACAAGTGCTTTTTTCTTACTGTTTGAATCCTGTACTATGTATACATATTATCTATTTAAATTAAGGAAAGTTTTAAATATATGGATTCTAGAGCCATACTTCAAGTACTAAATCAGAATTTCCTGGAGTTTTGGAACATAAATATGTATTTTTATATAATTTTTATTATTTGTACTGGGGAGGGATTGGATGCTGTTATATATGTATTTATATTACATATAATTTTTAGGTAGCCAACCCATTCATTATTGGACTGAAGTTGTTGAAACGAGTAAGGTAGGGCTAGGAGTATAGCTCAGTAGTAGAGTGCTTGAGGCCCTAAATTCAATCCCCAGCACTGAAAAAAATAATAAGGCAAATTCGAAAGTAAAACTAACAAAGGCACAGTTTGAGGAAGGTGCTAGATTATATAAATCAAGTTCTAACTAAACTTTTTGGAATGAAGCCATTTGTTTAGTTTGCTCATAGTGAGGCAACACTTAGATACTGCCTAGATCTGTAAATAAAAAGTCTCTCCCTTTACACTATATGTTTTTGATCTGTTACTTTTTAGTTTAAAGGGACCTTAGGGATCATTGTTTCATTCATTCAACAGATATTTGAATGTCTACTATGTCCTGTGTGTTAATTGAAGATGTTAGAATGAACAATGATGTTGTTCACTGCGGTAGAGATAGTTTGTGTGAGAGACATTAAAAATAAGCACATATACAAGCATAAAATAAATAAAAATTGTGATATGTGCTGTGCAGGAAGCTAACTGGGTAATGAGATTGAAGATAACCAGAGGTATTTTAAATAAGGATATGAGGTAGGATGAGGAAGAAGTAGCCTCTGGAGGCCAATCAGAGAGTCACAGTAGTGCAGGTAGAAGAGGAAGCAACCTGCCAAGGCCTGGAGGCAGGAGAAAGTCCAGAGTCCTCCTGGTACTGGAACTGAAAGCAGGCCTTTGTAGAGTACACTGGGTGAAGGCGAAAGGGCCATAAGTGAAGGTGAAGTAATAAACCCTTTTAAATAGATGTGAAATCCTAGGAAGACTTAGCCAACCAGGGCAACTTTACTACTTTGGCACATCCTGTTACAATAATGTTTCTGAGGATATCACCTAACTCACATCACATCTAACTCTTCTTTCTCTTTGCTCTTTTTTCATGTTTCTTTTAAACCTTTTGGAAAAAATAACAGCAAAACTAATAGCTATACTTTCTAAAGTTGAAAATTTACACAGTGATCGTTGCTTTGCTGGTTTATCCCATTAAGATACCACTAACCTTATATATAACCTGGATATATCCCAGTTTTGTTAGCTTCCATATATCGATTCCCCATTCCTAAATATATTGAAACTTTAAAAAATCAATTTATTTCCTGATTTTTGTAAGAATTATAGAAGTATATTAATAGCCATGAGAATTTACAGTGGGCTGGACCCTTTGTTTCTGAGTACTTTGCATGCATTAGAATCTTTACCATATCTTTGTGAGAGAGTTCCTGCTCTTACCTTCATTTTTCAATTTAGAAGCCTCAGACAAAGGGAGTTAAGAAATTTGCTCCAAGTCACACAGCTGGTATGTGGCAGAGCTAGGTTTTGAACACAGGCAGTCTGAGTTCCAAAACTCATGTCACTTTGCTCTACCGTCTCTCTACTGTGTAATGTGTTCCCATATGATTGGTATAAAGTGGGTACCTTGTTAAAGTATCTAAAGACAGCCAAATGTTAAATTTCAAAGAGGAAAAGAAATCTAGGTTCAATGTGTATGTGCCATTTGTAATCTTCTAAAGTTATGATTGAGCTTCCTAACCTACCTTTTTGCAAATTAAATTCATGTGACCTTAACAGCAGAGCCCTGTCATGCTTCTGTTGAGAGCCACAAGACTGCGGCATGCTTCAGTTAAGTTAGTTCCCCATTATGTGAGATCTCCTCCACTCTATTACAGTTCATGATCAGACTAGATAACACTCAGTGAGATTCCCTGAAATCATGTGGACTCCAGAGATTTACCCTGTCCTGTTTTTAGTCTCCTGGAGTTGCCTCCCAGGAAGGTATTCCTGTTCCACTGTTCCTCACTGTCCATGAAAATGATCTGACAATTATCCTTAGCTTTCTTATTGAGCAGATAGCCTGATTGCAACTTTTCCCCCATATCACCATTTGCCTGATATAATTAGCTATTTTAATTGTACTTCAGTTCTTCCTCTTAATAATTTTAGCTGCTCTTTAAATTTTTATGACCTCTTTTTGTGCTGAAGTACATAGAGAGAAATGCAGAGGTTTGTTTTTTAATTGTGCTAAGAGGTACTTTGTTATATTCTGATCTGAAGTCTTGTGCACGATACATCACATTTATTTTACGTTACAAGCTCATCTCAAAACTATTCCCAGGTTTAAAGACCTGGGGCCATAGAATGAATT